TGAGAAATAGCGATAACAAACTTTCACTATCAAAATCCAAGATGGCTGCCTGGCGGCCAGTTTGTTTATCCGATCAGTCTCAAAAGTTGCCCTGCACAGCTAAGGACCAAAGGGAACCTGCATATAAAATTTGAGAAAGATCCCTCTGGTACTTCTTGAGAAATACCGATAACAAGAATTGTTTAAGGACGGACGACGGACGCAGGGTGATTTGAATAGCCCACCATCAGATGATGGTGGGCTAAAAATGAGACGAGGGAGATTTTTTTGTTGTTGTGTCTTATCGAACGTAATTTCCAAACAACTGTGTAGGGTGTAAAACGTTCGTTGTGGGCATTACCTTGTCAAATGTGTCCATTTTTTGTCACCAAACACACACACATACTTTAGCCGAACAGCGTTTATCTGGGAACGACCACATTCCCAGATCGGTGCTACCGGTTTTTATATTTGTGCAGAGATCCGTCATGGAGCAAGCCTCCAAAAATCCGCCCACGATGTTCCAGGGAAGAATCACAGACCCCCCATTCCTTATTTGTACCGAAATGAGCGCCATTAGAAAACGAGGTTAATTAGTCATAATTGTTTCAACGCTTGCCTGTATATCAATTTATATCTTTATTCGTTATATCGTTTTCGGGACTTGGGTGACTAAGGAGTAAATACGACATGCAGACCAATTTTCCAGATTTTTTTTAAGACGGCGGCTGGTGGATTCACATTTTTTTTATTACTTTCACGATAAAATCGGCAAAGCGGTGCCCTAAAATGAAATGCGTGCGGGCCTGAGAACCAAGTAATTCATTTTTTTTGGCCTTATACAGTAGCAAGGCTTACTTTCTCCTATTTGATATGTTTACCTTAGCTCCCCACTTGGAAGCAGTATCATTGGCAGAAGACATTGCAGAAGCGGTACCGTCGGCCATCTTGGTCTCTATACTGTTGAAGAAGGTCTGTTCTATTTCGTGACTGAGGCGTGCTAAAACTGGCTCGAACTTCTCCTGCAACTCCTTAGAGTTTTCTTCAACAGCTGACTTAGCATCTCTCCGAGTTCCTTTACACTGAAACACCAACATGTCCAAATACAGATTATAGTAATTTAACCAGTGGGTTTTGCCTAAACAATCGCTTCAGTGCCTCGGACTAAGACCATTAACCAAAATAAGTACCTTGATAGTTTTTTTAAATGACATGGCCATCTTGGATTACAGATTAAAACTTCATAACATTATAACTTGTCAAAATTATAACTTTGAAATCAGTTGTATATACTTTTGTTGAAGTGAACAAGAAAGCTTTGACCATCTCCATAGATCAATAAATCATGGGAACTCAAAATTTCCTGAGTATAAGCATTTCATATAATTTGGCAGTATTATTCCTAATTCTGTTTTTCTTTTTTTTTCAATATGCAAATTAACACCAAAGCTTCAAATGGATCAGGATGTTCATTTTAACAAAACAATATGTTCTTCCAACAATAATTAAGCTACAAGGATGAAATGAAATAAAACAAGTGAAAAGTTTATTCACGGTGGGTAAAAACAGCTCAGGTGATCTAATAAAAGTGCTGTGTTCTGTTTATATGGATGGACTAGCCTTAAGTGTCACATCAGCTGTGTACATACCGTGGTGCCATCAGCCATGATGTAACTCTGTATATCAAACACAAACTGTCCAAGGGTACGGATCAACCTGTCTACATGCTGTTGTCTTCTTACGGATGTCAGCTCGTGGATGTAGCGGCGCAACACTGGAATCTGTGTTTCTTCTGTAGAACTAAATACCTACAGAGAGTAAAAAAAGATCTCTAGATAATATCAGGAGTAGAAGGAAACCATAAACTCATTCACCCCTAAAGACAAATATGAACTCTTCCAATTCAAAGGTTTGAATAGTCCATAATGAAATTTCAGGGGTGACCAATTTAACATAAAATAGATATAATGTGAAAATACCTAACTACATCATGAAAGAACGACAAATGATTATGACTAATACTGGCAGGGGTATTATTTAAATAATAACACTGGCTGATACTGGCCAGTGATCTCCAAAATCACTATATGCATATAAATTAAAATTAATTCATTTAAACACTGAACTGCATTTAAGTAACAATTACAGGTAATATGTTAAGAAACAGCACTACCTGGACAATGACCTTTGAAAACAACTACTAGAGTTCAGCATGTGGCTAACAACACATCAAGAGACTGATGTATACATGGACAGAGAACATGGCTAACAACACATAAAGAGACTGATGTATACATGGACAGAGAGCATGGCTAACAACACATAAAGAGACTGACGTATACATGGACAGAGAGCATGGCTAACAACACATAAAGAGACGGATGTACACATGGACAGAGAGCATGGCTAACAACACATAAAGATACTGATGTATACATGGACAGAGAGCATGGCTAACAACACATAAAGAGACGGATATACACATGGACAGAGAGCATGGCTAACAACACATAAAGCGACTGATGTACACATGGACAGAGAGCATGGCTAACAACACATAAAGATACTGATGTATACATGGACAGAGAACAGACAGATACTAAGTTACAGCAGGTCTGTATTAAAGGTTGGCCTAACAAGGTACATGCATCAATTAATGACACCTGTTACCTTACATATAAGTGTACATTTAATTGAAATTAAGTTCAAACTAAAATCCTGAGGAATTACATTAGGTGGTCCGTCGTTAGTGAGGAGGTTTTTCATCTTTTGGTACTCCATGGAGCTGACACAGAACACCTTAAGGTTTTCTGCAGTTTGACCTATCTCCTCGTCATCATCGTCACTGTTGTAATCCTGATCTTCATCTTCCATTTCATCATCCTCATTGGTCAACCCAGCCTTTCTTTTCATCTCCTAGAAAAGGAAACAACAAAATTATCTATCTCAATAAATGTAGTCAAACTTGTTTCTATCAAGCTAGCCATCAATGAAAACTAGTTCAAAATGAGAAACAAGACTACATACGGTACCTCATTTTCTTTATAAAATAGACAAAAAATTATCAGTTGGTTTTGGTTCTTCAAAATTCTCAATGTTGTATTCAATGTTGTATAAAAATTTCTTAATAAAGCATCAATGGTTGACTTCACACACAAATTCCACACATTATGATAAGGTTTCTTTAACCAATGTTGGGAAACTGTCTTTCCACCAATGTTTATAACAGGATATTAGTGGATGCAGGTATTGCTGCCTCTACATCCACATCCATATACAGTCAAATCTGCTCAAGCAATCTGCTTTATGCGACCACTATTCATTCCTCCCGATCGTTTTACTATGTAATTCAACTGTATTAGTTAAGCGACCATTTGTCTTACGCGACCAGCCACCACCCATAACTGACCCCAAGTATGATGTTAAACGACCATTTTTGACGAAAATATACCAAACAGTCATTGAAATAGCTGTGCAACTCCCAATTTGCAAACGTCACTACATTTGACGAAGGGCTACTTAACATCATTTCACAAAGTTCAGTGAACAAATTTGACAAAACAAATTTCGAAGCTTATAATAAATTCATTGATGTGCAGAAACAAATAAAAAGCCATTTTTCTAACTACCGATATTGTTGATTTAGCAGTAAATATATGGACTGATATTTATCACAGTTGACTAAAACCATTTTGATTGCGTGTGTCCTGCTAGGCAACGTAACCTTTAACCCTACGGTATCCTCCATCTGATTGGATGAAGTACATTGGCAGGTTTTCATTCTTGAAATCAAGTCTGTTTTGAGATGTTCACGACAGCACTCTCTCGTGGAATTAACATTAAATATTAGTGCAACTGCGCACTAAACATGTTTATGTCAGCACACATATCGTTTCTATTTCCTCATCAATATTAAATACCTTTAATTACATCCCTGAACTTCTCAACGCCAAGTACTAACAACAATAACACGGTCCGTTTTTTGGCAACATGATGTCAGGTTTATTTAGGTCATTATTTTAACTGGACTCTCCTTGCAGTTTCTATCGTAAAATACTTTTCAGTTTCCATTGTAAAATAAAAGAATAATCCATGTGGAACCATCTGTTGGATCACCACAGGAATCGCCATCATTTCAACGACAATATCTTGTGTAATAGATAGCTTAAATCATGGTTACAATCGAAATCACAGTCGTGTAAGCTGAAAACTTCAGCAAGTCTCCGGTGATCGTTTGTTCCGAGTGAAATGGCAATTCTTCTCAAACCCTTTTAATTGTTTGTTTACTGTCATAGTTAGTTATCACTTGACTATTGTTTAGTTATTCACCTGATCTATTGAACAATGTTGTTTTAAAATACCAGTATTTACAAGTGTAAATGTGCGCTTTGGGTGGTGGTTGTCTGGTAAGGAGTCGTTCGGTTATTGTCCTTTGTGTAATACTGTATCAAATATTGAACTTTATTAAACAACCACTTCTATTTAGCGACCGTTTTTTAATTTCCCTTGGGTGGTCGCTTTATACAGATTCCACTGTATATGTGAAATACTGGTAAACACAACATTTAGTCCATTTATAAGAAGCTGAGTGCTCACATTTCAACACAAGTTCATACCAGAACTCATTAACAAGATTTTTCTCAAAATCAAATACTGTACAAGATGAAATAATACCTTCATGGAGGCTATACAGGACGTCAATTGTTCTTTAAGTAATATTACTGTTAAGTTCTTTTTTCTAAGATTTAAATGGCAATGTTGTTTTAGTATATTTCTACTAGGTTCACGAGTATTTCTGAGTGCAGCGAGATCAAACCTTCCCTCCACCTTATATAGACCTTGCCCTGGTGTTAGAACTTACCCGGAGTCCAGCCTTGAAATCGCGTTTGATCTGGGATTTGGAGTAATCATTTCTGGCCTTGGCACAAAACGCTGATATCTCCTTTCTTTTCAACTCAATTTTCTTGTCATTTTCCAGAGACTGAAGAAAATATGTAATTTTAGACACATGATTACTACATAACATTAAAATGATACTTCCTACTTATTTCAATACCCCTTTTTCATTCTCAAAAAATAACTATTACATTCTCAAAAAATAACTATTAAATATTTAATAGTGACTCATAGAGTCTAGTTTCCTGAATGAAGTCATAAAACTGTGTTCAGCCTTGTACGTGTTGAACACCGATATCCACCTTACAAATTTGGTTAAAACTGGAATAAGGATGCAAAGCTCCATCAATCAATCAGGATATTACAGTGTTGAGCTGAATCACACAAGTGTTCAGATATGAGCCAAATTTAAGTGTTAAGCTTTGTCACATACATGTGTTCCGCGATGGGCCACATACAAGTGTTCAGGGTAACATAAGTGTGACATTTTTGTGTCGCACCTAACACTGAGAAACACTTAAGGACGAAAAAATCAATTCTACGACTTAATCTACCTTATTATACCAGTAAACTTCAATTAGCATTGAATTTTACAAAACACAATCTAAATCATAAATTCATGACCCAACTTAATGACGTACCAGCTAAATAATCTATGCATGGCTAACTTAATGATGTACAAGCTAAATCATATTTGCATGGCCCAAATTACGGAAACACTCTCCAAATTAGCGGAGTTTTCAGGAACAACAACCAATTTTCAGGGACAACAACCAATTTTCAGGAACATACCAATTCAATAAGATTGTGCCTTTGTTCCCGAAAACTGGTTCTTGGCCCCCGAAAATTAAGTTGTTGTCCCGCTCACTCGCACAGCGGTATTCCCTTTGATGTAGCCGCGCTCCGGCGAAGCCCGTACAGGTGAGGCAGTCTATAGTCCCTGCCTTGCTGGCCGTGTTGTCGGTATAGCTATGCAA